CGTTTGCGCCTCTCTTGCGTAATGAAGAGACTCTTGATGCTGCTTACTGTTAGATCTGTATAATGGTAGGGTATGACAAGGGGGGAGGAAGAGAGAGACAAGAGGCTTGTTTCATGCTTCGTCCATGTTCCATGGACTATGTAACCTGCAAGAGGCAATCCCATCGTTGCCGTGTTGCACGATAGATATTGAGAAAAGAGAAGCGGCAGTGATGCAAGACGTGCTACCCATGCCTAGGTAAGACAGATACCTTTGAGTCATCACCAGGGATATATCGCCTTGTGCGTTAGAATCTTGTCGTGGGAAGAAGGAGGAGGGTTGGTGGTGTGAGCAGCAAGCATGTCAGCTTCGAGCTCTACAAGTCACCTTTACACCATCAACACCATCTGCTTAAATAGTGTGACTCGAAGTCTGGCTGTAATATGCCATCACTATATCGTTTTATTCCGCCGCACAATCAGGTTCTGCCCCTTCCAAGTATTCAACTGCCATGTCAGGTCCCAGTAGGGTAGGCATCCATACAGAAACGAACTACATCAGGCTCATCCAAACAGTCAGCAAAAAACACGCCTTAGCAGAGGCCAATTAGAGAAACCAAATAAACTGAAAAAAAGTCGGTAAACGGAAAAGAAGAGAGAGCGGGAGCATACAAGAGACGGCGCCTTCGAAATGTGTCTTCCATACCTTGTAGTACTACCGCCAGATGGATCCATGTACAATAACGCCCATCAGTCTGCCTACATCAAATCCTCCACCAGAACACCCACTCCCCTACTCCACGAAGACCCAAAGAGGCCTCAACACCTTCCCCTCCCATCTTTCACCCAATGCCAGCCATTCACATAATGAACTGCATTTCGCATCGCCCCAGTCCAATCACCCTTGCTGATACCACAGGGTACACTGCTGAACTCAGCCACATCATATGCAGAGGACAGACGCAGACGGAATACTGTGGAAACGCAATTGCGAGGGCGTATGCGTGTCTCGGGGTCCATCCCAGCGAAAACAAGCCTCTGTCTCTCTCTCTGGTGATGACGAGTTATGCTGTTGCGGGTGGCTGGGTGAAGACATCCCTTCAACCTCGTGCGCATCACACTATCATCCATCCAGGTCCTCATGATGCGTCCACTGTAATCGAATGAGCAGGAAGCACAAGAAGTATCATCAGTCGTATTAAGGCCACCTTCAGTCTAGCAGTCTCACATCAACCTCAGTTACGCTGAATAAAATCCTACGGGAAGCGAAGCCTCCCGACCAGCCTCGCCGCCTGCCTCGGTAATACTCCCAACGCCGTCTTTGGACCAGGCCATCCGTTCCTGAAAAGCAGTAGAACGCATAAAAGAAGAGAAACTCAAGAGGTTCTATCCCTGAAGAGACAGGAGCCCCAAGCACCAATTGAGCCTCGAATAATAGACCGGTAAGCAATCCCCCCCCCCCCCCCCCGCGGCATCATCCAGTCATATTGTATGGAACAATGGCCTTGTCAATGATGGGATCCCTCCGCGACATGTGTGTTGCTTCAGGACCCCAGCGTGATCTCCAGTCCTCCTCCCTCTGCAGCGCCTTGTCGAAAGCCTCGCGGCATTCCGGAGGTAGCAGAGCCTTAATCTCGTCCGACACGGCGCTCAGCCCGTTGAACTGCGCGACAAAGTCTGCCGGATCCGACCTCTTGCTTGCCGCGAGCGCGCCGCCTGCTGCTGGCGTCTCAAAGTAGGTGTCGGTGACGAAAAAGTTCCTGGCCATCTTGAGAGGAACCGGGGGAAACTTGGCATCGCCTCTGGTGGCCTCTTCGTCCTGTGGCGCCACCTGCTCGATGCGCGCCAGTGTCGGCTGCATGGCGGCCGGATACTGCATGATGTTTGTGTGAATGTCGTAGACGCCGTTGTTGTTCAGTTTCCTAATAGCATTGATGCCCGCGTTGAAAGCACTTGCCAGCAGGGTTAGCCTTTATTTGTTTCCTAGCAGTGTCAAGTGTCCTTTTCACATACCTGGCTTCTCGCGCATGCTCCAGCATCCAGTTGGTGTCATTGACATTGACCTTGCGCTTCTTGGACTCGACCTTGCCCGTGGGCACCGGCACCGAAGGGGCGTTCGTATGATATACTGAGCTGGCGCCGTGCCACGCAACGTACTGGTTCTTGTTGTACGGCTCCCCCACCACGTAGCGATCCTCCGGGTCCGCCAGCTCTCCCTCGACCGCGCCCTCGGCGCGAGCCTGAGCCACGTTGTAGTCGTCAATGATGCGCTTGCCGCCCACGACGATTCTGGATCCAAACTCCCGGAACACGGACCGGGCCGTGACGATGCCTATTGACCGGCCCTTGTACGAGTGGGGGATGATGTCCCGCTCAATCATGTCGCGCTTCTCCTCGTCGTCCACAATGATCTTGTACAGCTTGCGGTGCTTGGTGAAGAAGAGGTAGCTGTCCCTGAAGCCGACGCATCGCGCCGGCTCCGTCGACAGCATGTAGAGACGGTTGCCTCGGCCCAGCACCTTGAACGTCCGGCAGCGGTACTCGCGCCCGCCCTTGAGGTTGCCCATCTTGTCCACCTTGGTCTCGCCTTCGGGGTCCTCGGGGAGCACGCACTCGTCGTCGACAATGTCGGCAACGGTTCCCTCGGCATCGATCACCTGCTCCATCTTGGGCGCAGCGGGTCCTCCCTTGCGGCCGCCCCGTCCCCTCCAGCCTCCGCGACCTCTCCGGCGCGGCGTGTCGGCTTCCTCCGGTTCTTGGGCGGGCGCCCCAGGCGCTTTCGGCGGATCACGGGCTGCGGAGGCGGCGTCGGCTCCTTGGCCGAGGCCTCTGATTCCTCGTTCTCTTCTTCCTCGTCGCCGTCGCCGTCGCCGCCGTCACCATCGTTGTCGGCGCCTTCTCCGTCGTCGCCAGACTCGTCTTCCCTGGCCTCGTTCTCGTCGACATCCTCGTCTTTTTCATCGGCAGTGTTTGCGCCCGCGCCCGCGTCGACGTCGGGCATAGGCTCGTCTTCGATGTCGGCATAGCCCTTGGGCGTGCTCCCTGCAGGCGGGGAATCGCGGGTTAGCTTCGCTTGGATCTCCATTGTCTCGATGTTTTGTCTGCCTCAAGCTCGAACAGATGATCGTGGGGTTCGTTCCAAGAGCAACAGCGAAGAAAACAAACGTACCAAGAGCGGCAGCAGCCTTCTTGGCCGCCGCGCGACCCGACCTCCGACTAGGCATATCGTCGCTTCCCTTTCGCAAAAAAGCAAAGCAACTCCCTCCAACAAGCTCTTTCTCTTGTCCCGAATTCGTAAATCAAAAGTCAACAAATGGAATTGTCACAAATAGGCAACTCGTCTCGACGGAGCGCACGGCTATGATCTTTGCAGTGGTCAAGGCTGTTGGGATTTCGAAGAGAAAGATGCAAAGCAAAGCCTCGCGAGATGTCGTCGATCCAAACCACCCGCCGCCTTTCTGTTTGCCCTTCCCTTGCAATTGGTTCTTTTTTTCGCGGCGCGCGTTCGTTGCTTGTTGGTACTTGGCTGGTGCAGCAGGTGATCCGATTGGCTGGCGCAGATGACATAGATACAGTGTATTTATGATATTGTACTGTAATTACACACCGTATCGCATGAGGCCTCATACTGTAACGAAACAGCTTGGCGCTTCTCAAAGACTATGACGAAACGATATGTATGGGAAGCCAAAGGCAGAAGAAGTTAGATCTGTTTATACATATAAATGAACAATTTGATATGAGAACTAATCTCTCGTGTTTTAAAGCACATTCATAAACGTCAAGGCCCATGAATCTGAATATCCTGCAACACGAAAAAGCAGCTCGTCTTCCAAGTCCTTGCACATCACCCTCCCTGCGCAAGGTAGGTATTAGTGTCATCACTGTAAACGAAAAAGTTCCCTTCTATAAACTCGTACAAAATCACACAAACAACCGATCCCACCTCCGTACACCGAGAAATGCCAATCCTGCAAAGTCTCGCCTCAAGCCTGTCGAAGCAGTAGCGCTCTCTTCAAGCCCCAGCATCTCCCCCTTCCTCTTTCTTTCAGCCTTCCAAGTACCCAGAAGCGCCTCACAGAGTGTCCCAGCCCCCATTGTTGATTTCGGCCTCCAGCTTTCGGCTGATGAGGCTCGGAACTCCATGTTTGAGCACAGTGTTTCTGATCATGGAGTCGTATCGCTTTTGGTTCAAGAACAGTTGTCGTCCGTGACGCAGCTGCTGGTCCGTCTCGCCGTACTTGTCAATGTATGGCGCCGGCGTGAAGGACCCGGACCTGTGGTATAGGTAGACGGTAGAGCACTTGCGTATATTTAAAAACACTCCAATGATCCTCTGGCACCTACAGCGAAGAGAAAAGTTAGTCACAGAACAGTATTACTCAAAGAAGAAAAGGGATGACTGTACCTTCGCATGTGTTGCTGGGCACCGCCGATTTTGGTGCCGTCAGTGTCCATTCTCTGACAGCATGTGCTCTGGCTGCAGAGCATTTCTCCGCAAAAGAGGCAGATGATGGGATCTGTGAGGTCTTTGCCCGTGGTAGGACACTTCCTCCTCGTTGATTCTTCGATCAAGGTATCGAATGTTCGCGGAAGGCCAATGAGCTCAAAGATGCCCGGATGGCTGACCATGGCCGACGGCACCAGGGTGGGCGAGCCTTTGGTCCAGAGCACCTGATGCTTAACCCAGCCCGTCACCAGGCTCGGTGTCGCATTCGGCCATCCGGCAGCCATCGAGTCAGCCGTCATGACAGCGCACATTTCATCAAACGACGGAAGCCGCAGAGCCTCGGTGAGGCGGTCCAGCTCATCGGCGCTGCTGTCGGCCGAGACATGGCTGTTGAAATCTACGCCGTACTTGACGTGGAGGAAAACGGTGCACTTTCGCAGGAACGTCGTCGCGTACTTCTTCACGAACGAGTACCATCCTTCCAAAGTGTCTACTCCCGGCTGCTGGAAGCCTCGGTTCTGTCCCATGTCCGGGGGGTTGGCGCTGCTCAGCATTGCTTGGAATTCCAGGCTGAGCTTGCTGAGAGCCAGGGCGAAGTCGGCAAAGTTGTTCATGGCTGGGTCCTGGGTTTGGCGGTTTGCCAGCGTGCCGAGCCACAAGCCCACGGGCATGTTGCGGCCCATGTGGAACACGACCTTGACAATTTCCGCCAGGTAGCATAGCCGGACAACGTGCATGATGTCGACGTTTCGAGCCGGCACCAGAGCATAGCTGCATTCGACCAAGAAGAGAAAGGGATCCAGCGACAGCAGAGGCGGGTAGCTGTATAGCCGCCGGCGCGCATCGCCAACCTCTGCTCCGAAATGCTGCGCCATGAACAGTTGACCGTGCTGCTGTTCCGCGTCCGCGATGAATTCGCTCTCTATCAGACTTCCAGGGTGCGGGCGTAGACCCCCTATCTTGATATATGCCGACGTGGTCTCCGCCATGATTCGCAGATGAGCTATGACTTGCTCCGGGATCTTCTCAATCAACGTCATTCCCGGCTGAGCTTCGATTCCACGCTGCTGTATCTCCACCGCAGAGATCGTGTATCCAACCACCTGGACCAGCGTATCGCTCCCATGGAGTTCATCGCCTGCTCGAAGCTTGTTCACGGGATACCGCGTGTCAAGCTTGTTGAGGACCAGCGTATCTCTCAGTCGATGGTAGGCGGCTAGAAGTTCTTTCAAGGGCTGACCACTGCCGGCGCCAGATGCCTGGTTGGCCCCTGCTTCCGAAGTCTCAGCTGCGGCAGAGTTCGAAGAGCTGCCCGAGGGTCCTAGCGGCGCTGATGATGATCGCGGCTCCATATCCTCCTTGCCCCAGATCGACTCCGGGGGGCGAGGCTTCGACGGCGTCATTGTTTGCAGTAGGCTGCCAGGGAGGCTCGGCGTGTAGATATCGGGCAGCCTCGAATCATCCACCTCACGAGCCTTGCTACCGCCGAATGGGTAGGATGACATCTGCTTGTCTAGGAAATCCTCAAAGCTTTCCTCTACCTGTAGATTCCCTGGATAGGACTCCTCCAGCCCCTTCCACACGATGGGAATAAAGGTATTGCCCAGGGCCTTGCAAAGAGGGCATACGAACTCGTTCCGAAGAATCTCCTCCGGATGATGCCGCGCGATTTGGTGGGTATGGCGACGATTGGTGGCCTCGTAGTACTGCTCAAAGCAGCGGTAGTGCATCATATGCCCACAACTGCTCGCCACGGGTCCCGCTCGTGAGAGCGACGCCTTGAATCCCTTGCCAATGGTCTGCCTTTCGGCAAGGAATACCTCTCCCTTGGCATTCAGTTTTTCAACCATCTTTCTATTCTCTTGGGCGAGACCAAAAGGGCGAATGTCGTCTGCCGATCTGTCGAGATTGCATGGGGTTTGCGAAGCTTCCCGAACAAGGTCGGGATCCTGGAAGTCTGTTTGACGAAGGATGAGGCTCTCGTTCAAGAGAGCAAATGTACCGTACAGACGCCGATCATCAGCTTCCTCCTGGCACAGGATACATGTTCCCGTCGGATACTTCCAGTTGTGCTTGCGATCCTCGGCTTGCTCCATGGACTCCTCATCCTCATCCAGGTCCGAGCCCCAGTCAATGGCGCCCTGGTTCTCTAGGAAGCTCTTTTGCTGCTGCTGGAACTGCGCCATGACCTTAGCCTGGCGACTCATTGCCGCTTGCTTCCTTCTTTCGCGTTCCTCGTCGACTGATACATTTGCTGGCGACGCAGTGTTGATGCGATCTACAGGCAAGCCGAGCTTTGAGAATTCCGCGTTGAACGCCCCGGGCCGTTTCTGCTTAAGACGCTTGAGGATGAGGGCTATCTTGGGATGCACTGCTTTGAATTCCTCGCGGGTGGACAGCATATTCAAGAGCGAAACGATGGTCCTCGCGTTACTCGCGTCCGGCATGAAATTGCTCCGAGCCACTCGTGTGAGTGCCGTGTGGACAAAAGACTTGGGAGCCTTTGCCGGGACGTCATTCTCGGTGGTGTTATCTTCCAAGGTGGCAAGGAGAACGAGGTGGAGAACGACTTGTAGAAAGGTCTCAACACGGGTGATGGGCACAAGCGGTGTAAACTTTTGCGCGCTGAGTGCATATAGCAACGAGTAGTAGATGACCTGCGCAAAGACGCCCGTGCTGGTGAAATCTGCGAGATGCTGGAATAGCCCGGACGGAATCGGTCGTAGCTTAGGCTCAAAGACGATTTCTTCCACAGACTTGCCCGTCTTCTTGGCCATCTTTTTACGATAGGCCAGCTCGGACTCCTCGCGTTGGTTCTTGTTATAGTGGGCAATGTAGGGGTCGATCTCTTCGATGAATTCCTGGCGGAGTTCGAAGGTACCGACGTCAGACACGCCCTCTGGTGGTTTGAATGTGGCCATCTCGTCCAGCACCTGGTGGAACTCCTCTGATTCCTGGTACTTTTCAGGAAGCTTCAGAGAGATCTCGTTGAACGACATCGGCTTGAGGCACAAGACATGTATAATATCTCGGCGCATAGCCAATAGACGAGAGTTTGGTTCGTCTTCTGGGGCGATCAGGCATGTGCGGTCGCTCAGGAGAACAATGAGGAGGTGGATCATGTCCTCGACAACGTCGAGGTGCTGGATATCGTCCTGAGCTTCTGACAGAACCTCAAAAATGCCCTTTACCCAGTTCTCCATCCCGAATCGGTCGATAATGGAGGCCAGGACTCGAGAGGGGTCACAGACCACCATTGCCGTTTGCAAAAGGAATATGTCTCGATGATGGGAGACGTCTCTCTGCCCAACGCCACGATAGGTACTCGCTTGATGGCGAAGACTGATGCCGTTTCGAACCCACATGTTGGCCTTGATCTGAGCTAGCCAAGCGCAAACTCGGAGCGGGTAGTCGAAGAGGGCCATCATGTAATCCTCGGGGCTATAGTCCATCTTGGGAACCTGTGAAGGCCCTATCGTCATGAGCCTTGGCTTCGACTTGAGCTCATGCCTGGTGAAACTCAAGAGGGCGCGCATCCTAGACGCGGGAATAGACCTTCCGCACTCGATCAGCCAGGACAGGGTATAGTGCAGCCCATGGTGGAAGCTGATGGCATCCTTTTCGACGACGAACTTGACAACTTGGTACGATTTGTCCCCACCGTCAAACTCCAAGTCGCTTATCGTCTTGAACTTCACTTCGTCCTTGATCTCTGCTTGTTTGAATCGGAGTCGGTCCGCACCAACCGAGTTGAAAATGGCAGCTTTAGCGGCGATTCGGATGGCACGCATAAGGTGGCGCATCTCTTCGGGAGGGCAATTGCGGAACGCTTCAGCCAGGTTCCTTGCTTGCAGGTTGATCTGTCTGGTGACCAGGGAAGCCGTGATCCAGGAGTCGGCTTCATATTCGACGTGTTCGACCACTGCGCGAACATTGGGCCCAATGCCTTGATGAAGTTTCACCAAGTCCAGAAACTGCATCAGATACCTCGGCTCACGCCTGATTCGTTCTTGAACATGCTGAGAACTGAGGAGGTATTTCAAGTCTTGGTAGAAGTGATACATGCGCCGGTTCGTAACCGACCCACTGTCAAAAGCGAGAACCGCTACCGGGGAGATATCCCATGGGTGGCCAACTTGTCTGGTTGTCAGGAACGTAAACAGAATCGCCAGTAAGTTGGTCAGGAAGTTCCCTCGCTCAATCACCTCGGCAGTGATGGATGGCGTCGTGAGCATCTGGAGAGAGAGATTGATAATGGAATGATCTGGCTCTCTGTCGCCGATGAGATAGAGCTGGGCCAAGATGGTGTAGAGACTGGCGAACCGAAGGGCCACGACTCGCTTGAACTCGGGGATCTGGACCACCGTAGATATGTAGAGGGCGCGGAGATCGTTCCTCGCCCTTTTCCACATTCGCAAATCGAAAAGCAACAGCCAGTCTAGGCGAACACGCTGGAAAACGTCTTCTGCCGGCGGAACATTTCCCGTCTGCGTGTAGGCAGCCGGAGTCTCAAGCCAGTAGAGGCCCGGGTTGGGCATCACCTTCTCCGTCTTGCCAGGTGTCTTGGGTATCTTGATATTCGCCTTTGTGTATATGTTTTGAGAAATGAGAGGCTCTTGCATGTCTGAATCGGACGGTGTACCTTCACGGCGCCGAGCAACCTGCGAGGGCTCCCCCTGCTCCTGCTCCTGCTCGGGAGCAGGTGCTTGAGCACGAACAGGCGGAGGCGGAGGTGGAGGCGGATATCCAGCCAAAGTCGCTTCCTCGTCTTCCAAGGCATCGTTTGGCCGTTCTGTCATGCCCACTTCGGAGATTTCACCCTGTGCGTCGACCATTATGACGTCGTCGTCGCCATCATCATCCGAGCCGGAGCCATTGTCATCGTCGTCGTCGTCAAAATCCTCCTCATCGAGGTCGTTTTCGTCCATGTCGGCATCGTCATCATCGCCGTCGTCGTCATCGTCATCGGCATCGCCTTCATCAACAATCTCAAAGGTCAAGCCGGGAGCCCCAGCTGCAACTTGTAGAGCGCGAATAAACCGGGCGTTAACCTGATGCATCCTGGCTCTTGTTTCAAGGCGTTGGTCGTCCGCCTCCTCGTCGTCAATAAGGCCCATGGTATGAGTCGCAGCGCTCCCTTTCCTCCATGGCTTCATGAGTTCTTGGCAGATGGTCCGTCGAAGGACGTGATTGTCATGGCCAACCGAGCAGCCAGAGATATCGCTCAGCCACTCAATCAAAGTGCCGCACATCTGTTCTCGAAACGTGTCTCTCGCCGATCGAATGGTGACAGTGACCCTGATTGCCTCCAATATCTTTGCCATTTGCAACAATTTGTCAATGTCGTCCAGAAACATCAAGAGGCTTCGTCCAACTGCGTCGGTTTCCCAGGCATCCTTGTTGGCCTGCCGCCTGGATTTTCTGCAAGCTCTGGCGACCTGGTCTCGAACCTCATCAACAGTATGCTTCTCGTCATTCCATAACACCAGTGCAAACTCTGAGCAAGCCTGACTATTGGAGCCGTAGTATTCTGACTTGAGGCGAGATACTTCTTCATCTTTGAGGATCGATTCTTTTGTTTTTTCCTGGCGTAGCTGCTCGGGCGAACAAGATATAACGTCGCACATGTAGTCGAACGCCCTGCTGATCGTCATCTGTATGCTGTTCACGAGGTCTTCGGGAAGCGACTCGGGCACTTTGGCCCTGCCCGCGTGAGAATCAGAGGCCACGTCGGAGTGGATGGTGCAATACAGCGGCTTCTTCCAGGCTTCGTCATCTCCGCAGTCGCAGCAGCCGCTGTTTCCCACCGAGAGCTGGATTCTGACCATGTGCCCTGTATGATCCGTGGCATCGAAGCATCGGCTACAGAGGCAGCACGTCTCGTCCGTCCCGCAGGTCCTGCACATGTAGGATGCCTCGCCTGGCTTGAAGATGTGGCCGCACCGCTTCCCCCGAGCTGCCTCTGTGTATTCGGCACCCTCTACAGCGCCTTGGGCATCGCTCAGCTTCAGGCTGTCGGTCGGCCTGCCCTCGGGGAAGAGAAGTCGCATGTATTCATGATTGCCACCGGCCAAGGACCAGAAAAGGCTGGTTAGGAGCTCTCGGGCAGCTTCCTCGGTGTACCGATGGCCGAATCGCGCGGGTAGATCTGCCAGTAGCTGACAGAGCTGCTGCTCTTGAGTAGACAAAGAGTTCTCCATGTTCATGAGCTCATGATGCAGCGACGCTGTGCAACTGGCAGAGGGCGCTGGGCGATGGCGCGAAGGTGGGGAGTTTAGCTTGGTAACGTCAGCGCCGATACGGAGTCCAAAGGAAGCTGTGCAGAAGGATTGATTTGACGATGGGGACAAGAGATGGGGATGAATGGCCTACTTCGGTAGACGAGGCTTAAGAAAGAAGGACGTAAGGGTGTTTGTGGCGTCGGGAGCGCACGTTGAGCTGAGGACTTGTAGCGTAGTATGTAGGTGGGTATGATATCAAATGTTGATGATTCTTGGTTGCAGTTTAGCTTGCCCAAGGTGTAAAGGTCAGAGAAGATAAGGCAGCCTATCGCGGTAGCCACACTGTACTGCTATCGGGGTACCTACGAGGGGTGGCCGAGACGGCCCGTGCTGAAGTACCTACCTCAGGTATAGTAGTAGCTTGCTGCAGGTCGCCTGTGTTGACAGTGCCGCAAGTTCAGCTGTGATAGCGGCTGCTTTTCAGCGCACTCCGGTGCAGCCCATTTACCGGCTGCTTGCTCTGCCCCTCCCCGGCTTGACGACGTCAGTCGAAGCTGAGGCATCGCCCGGATGTCCCCACGGAAGTGCATAGACTCATCACATGTGTTCCAGGTTACTGTACGACCAAAAGGCGCCTTGGAGTATTACAATCAGAGATTCATCTCGTGGGGACCTCTCGAATCGAGAGTATGTGCACCTGCCTGCAGGGACCCAATATCAACATCGTATGATCACAGACGTCTCGGCGAACAGTGGTATGGGCCAGGGAAGAAAAGGGAGGATGCGAATCGTTCTATTTCTCGTTGCTTTTGTACATTTTCCTCAGACACTCCCACGCCGCGCCCATTCTAGCCATAGTAACCGTAGTTTTTATCTGCCAAGCTGTCTTTACTCCTCGTCCTCGCCGCCCTCAACGTACTTGTGTCGGATGTCCTTCCATTGGCGCTGTTCTCCTGGTTAGCCCTCGTCCGACGATTTGGTCCCTCGACTCGGCTCGAAACTTACGCCTCGGTTGTTGGCGTCCCAGATCTTGTTCATGGTGGAGTTGAAACCGCTGTTGGACCGTTGGTTAGCAATCCGCCTTGTCCCGGTGCTCCATGAATAGCATAGGTTTCTCGTACATCTCCCAGGCAAAGCCCGCGCCAAAGACGGCCGCAAGCATGGTCCAGTTCTTGCGGAACACGGTGCTGCACAGTGAGGTGTTAGAATGCCGGCTCGACGTTCGCTCGTCCGTTCGCTGTCGCTGCGACTTGCCTGTAGATTGACTGTGCGAGAGACTGCGCATGTGCGCGATTAGCCGATGACGCGGTCACGGAGCAGACTGGGCCGTATTGATGCTTACCATGTTGGCGATGACGAGCAATTGAAAGCTTCGGGTGCAGTCAAGAGTGCGTAGAGGCCGAGGTGCTCCTTTGGCGGGTTTTTTCGAGGTTAGGAATGGCCTCAGAAGAAGTTCTGCTAGGGAAATCCGCGAAGTTGCAAGCAGGAAGTAAGCAACGCTGATTGGCCAGCAGCAGTCTGCCATTCCGCCCCACAATTCTCTCCCGGCGTCTCCCGCCTTTCTTTTGCCGTCTCTTACAGTGCCTCTAATAACTTGTAACTTTGGCCATGGATGAGCTTCAACTCGGGCATCTTTCAATGTATTTGCCTTCTGCACTACCTTGTGCGAGATAGATAGTCGAGCGGGGCTCCAGTGATAAAGGAGTCGCAGTTGTTCAACTGTCACCTTAATAGGCTGTAACATGGACTTATCCTCAGCTACGAGTTAACACCGGCTGTGAACCTGGACTTCCTTGACTTGTGCGTATTTTGGCATGTAGAATACTGTATTGTTCCTGATAGATCCATTATACCAATCTCCCGTGACTTTAGGAGAAGCCTTGGATGCCAGCTTAGGTAGACTATGATATCTAAGCCATCCTGAGAGAGAGCTCATAGTTCGTGCGTTGATATGGTCCCTGTTAGTGTACCTAAGGTACTGTGAGATCCTCTACCATCTTGCCTGAACTTTGCGTGGACAGACCTCTTATCAAGGATGATAGCCAAAGACCGCCTGCCTTTGCTCCCATAAAATCATACAAAACGAAGAGTCCTTGTAGACTATACGGAAGCACGACTCTTCTGACGCTTCAAGGAGATATTGAATTAAGCTCAGCCACTAGGAGCGTACTGCAGAAGGAATAGTGGGGTTGCAGCTGCTGGCCCTTGAGGGCTCTTTTTCTGCCTGTTTGTAACATCCTCGGTTCCATCCGAGCCTCCAGCTGTTGACACAACCACAGGCACTGCGCTGCCCATTGCCCGGCCAATTCGCGAGCTGTGCCTGAGAGCACCAGTTTTATTTCACCGGGAGCCTTGCTGTCACAACAACCGCCTCGTGCATCAGCGCCATCTCCGTCAAACGGGCTGTGATTGGGCACCGCTGAGTCACTGCCGTTCCGGTCTTTCGACGTCCCCTGCAGCCGCGACAATGGCGCCCTCTACGACGAGGTCCGGCATTGCGACAGACGAGGCCAGCGGAGAGCGTCACATCCCCGAGTCAATCCGAGCCGACGGCAGCAAGCGCAAGGCCATCAAGATCCGTCCCGGCTACCAGCCTCCCGAAGATGTCGAAGTCTACAAGAACCGAACCGCCGAAGCCTTTCGAGAGCGCGGCAAGCGGATAGGCATACCTGGCGCTGCGGCGCAAGATGAAAAGCCGGACCAGGGCTCTGCCGCAAGCAACAAGAACGCGAAGCGACGAGAGGCTCGGAAAAAGGCCAAGGCCTCGGGTGGCGACGGCGAAGGCGAGACCAAGGCTGATGCCACTGCCGCTGCAACGTCCACGGACCAACAGCCCAAGGCGGAAGAGGTTGACCCAGAGGTCGAGCGCGAGAAGAAAGCCAGAAGCCTTAAGAAGAAGCTCAAACAGGCCAAAGAACTCAAGATGAAGAAGGATGGTGGTGAGGGCCTGCTGCCCGAACAGATCGCAAAGGTCATCAAGATCAACGAGCTCATTCGCGAATTGGACGCCCTTGGATTTGATGCCGACGGCGAACCGAAGGATGCTACGAAAGACGGCGCAGTGGAGAGTGGCGAGACCAAGAAATGAAGCGCAGTTTTATGTACCTACACAAGCACAATCTGGACAGGGGACTTGCTGTTCCTCAAAGGCGATACGTTCCGTGCCGACGATCATGCCGCATTATGCCACAACAATCACAGCCTTCTGCAGCTCCTGCAGGAGCTGCATAGCTTGCCAGCCTCACCAAGTCAAAAATCATTCTCGCTTGGTCTCAAGGCAGACGATTGGAGACGCCAGATTCAAGAAGGGGTCAGGAGGACTTCATCAGCTCCGAGAGACTTGGGATAGCGGGGCACTGAAAGATCCCTGTACCTCTATCCCGAGTGTTGGTACGATTGAAGCATGGAGCAAAAAGCGAAGCTTGAGATCTGTTACATGTATGGACATAGATGGGACAGCTGCGATCAATCGGTTATATCTTACATGCCTTCAACTTCTAGGTAAATTACTATCTGCATGCCTGGCATCTCAGTTACCTGAAGCAAACTTACAAGCTCCCCCGCCAAGTTGTCCATGTCCTTTGTGCTTCAGCCGCATACAATCTGTGGAGACTTGAGAGAATTGGATGACTTGCTTCTTACTCAAATAAAGAACTAAGATGTAGATAAATTCACTGGGCATTTAAAGGGAGAATACATGAAATATACAGACAATGGTCGAACATATTGATGCCACTGAAGAGAGTTGAGCTACAACTTGGAGCTGTTGACCGGGGCCGAGAGTATTGCCGATCTTCTGCCGAGAGGCTGCTGGCAGGGATTAGCTCAAGGCTCCAGCGAGTGAGGTAAGCCTCCACGATTGCAAAGGAAGCAGCCCGCCACGGACCCGATCTGGCACTACCAACTTCCAGCCAAGCTACCAAACGAACCGACAGGACGAAGCCCGGAACCAAAAGACACCGTCTCTATCCCAGGGCATAGCATCACCATCGTTGCAGCTCGCCGCACCCAACCATGTCTGCGGAAGAAGAGCGCCAGTCGGCCCTCAACGCCTACCGGGCGAAGCTCATCGAGTCCCGCGAATGGGAAGCAAAGCTCAAGAACCTACGGCTAGAGATCAAGGACCTGCAGAAGGAGTATGACCGAACAGAGGAGAACATCAAGGCACTTCAGAGCGTAGGGCAGATTATCGGCGAAGTCCTGAAGCAGCTGGACGAGGAGAGATGTAAGCCGCAATTCGCTACGGGTGGTGCTGAAGGATTGGAGGAAGCTGGTTCCAGAGAGATGATTGCTAACTCGGAGTGCTTTCCCCCCCAGTTATTGTCAAGGCGTCGTCGGGCCCTCGATATGTCGTCGGCTGCAGATCCAAGGTCGACAAGTCCAAGATGAAGCAGGGCACACGTGTCGCGCTCGATATGACGACATTGACCATCATGCGCATGCTCCCGCGAGAGGTCGACCCGTTAGTCTACAACATGTCACTGGAGGACCCTGGCCAGGTCAGCTTTGCGGGCATCGGTGGCCTCAACGACCAGATTCGCGAGCTGAGAGAAGTCATTGAGCTTCCCTTGAAAAACCCAGAGCTCTTCCTCAGAGTCGGCATCAAGCCGCCCAAGGGTGTCCTGCTGTACGGCCCCCCCGGCACAGGAAAGACCCTGCTGGCCAGAGCAGTTGCAAGCAGTCTGGAGACAAATTTCTTAAAAGGTGAGTTGCTATCATGATAACATGGTTGCAGTCTTTGTGCGTTGGACGAGCCAGAGCTGACACCCTTCCAGTCGTTTCTTCCGCCATCGTCGACAAGTACATTGGAGAGTCAGCAAGGTTGATCCGAGAAATGTTTGGCTACGCAAAGGAGCACGAGCCGTGCATCATCTTCATGGACGAGATCGATGCCATCGGAGGCCGACGATTCTCCGAAGGCACCAGTGCCGACCGTGAGATCCAGAGAACGCTGATGGAGCTCCTCAACCAGCTGGACGGCTTCGACTACCTGGGCAAGACAAAGATCATCATGGCTACGAACAGACCGGACACCCTGGACCCCGCGCTGCTGCGTGCCGGGCGCCTGGACCGGAAGATTGAGATTCCGCTGCCGAACGAGGTTGGACGGCTGGAGATTCTCAAGATCCATGCCTCTTCTGTCGTTATTGACGGCGATATCGATTTCGAAAGCGTGGTGAAGATGAGTGATGGTTTGAACGGAGCTGACTTGCGAAACGTGGTCACTGAAGCGTGAGTCTTTGATATCCCGCCATTCCCCAAAGAGAGGGGGGCTTTTGTCTATGAAGAGTTCCTTGCTAACGAAGAGTCGACCACAGCGGCCTGTTTGCCATCAAGGACTACCGAGAGTCGGTCAACCAGGACGACTTCAACAGGGCTGTGCGCAAGGTGATGGAGGCGAAGAAGCTGGAAGGCAAGCTTGAGTACCAGAAGCTGTAAAGACCTCCCACTCTTAGGGCAGGGATCTTTGAGGAAGGGGGTTTCTGGCGCCGGTGAAGAAAAGACGGCCAGCCGATAATGAGCACACTTTCTAGGAACTGTACAATAATGAAGTTACCCAGTAGATGCGAATGCTGAGTGACTTGGCATAAGAATGGCAGGCATCAGCTCAAATGGGAACTGGAGGGGCATTTGCCTCAGGCCTCCAATAGGCATCTGTTGATGATGGTGATTGTTTAGATATTGAAGACTTGGTGTTGATGGGTAATCTTGACATGTCAGCCGATATTTACAGACACTATCCAGGAAGCGACATGCTGGCTCTATTTAAATCAGCGTCATGGGTGGCTGGAGAGGTGTCTGGCTCAAGCAATATGCAAGTTCGTGCGATACCTTGGAAGATGGTTCGGGATGCAATACTGACTGGCATGGCACACACACCAAAAGAGCGGCTGAATGCGCTTGTCTTTGTGTTTACCTTTGTTTCTTGCCCTCTCACTGGTCACAGCCCGATTAGTAGGAGGGGGTTAAGGCAAGGCAGACTGGTGACGGTTGTGCTGATGTCAGATATCACAGGCGGCGGTTTTTAGCTGGAGACGAACCTTTCTCATGGCGGACAAGCCACACCACATTTTTCTTCTCGACTCTGCGGCTCCTCCGTGTCGGCGTTCTGTTGTTGTCATTGTTTTATCGTTTTCTTTCCCGTTTGGTGTCTTGTTTATTCGAGGGCTGCGTGATCAGCAGATTATTCAGTCATAGGTAACCTCCAAAGGGGCCAATAGTAGCTCTACGATGGCGGGTGGCTTTGCTGATATTTCCATACTCGGCGCTTGCTAATAATAAAGTTCGCGAAGGAGCAAAAGGCTTGAGCTTTCTTCTCAAAAGGGCAAAAAGATCGAGCCGTACCATGCAATGCAGTACACCTTGAGCGGTTGGTGAGAAACTTGGCGATAGACTCCATATCTCAGCACAGCGATCAAAGACGTGATGCTATTCTTGGAAATCCTAGAAGTGCCAAGCTAAGAAGCCGTTCGTTGCTAGGGGGTGCTTAGGGGCAAATCAATGAGGCTGTGAGCGCGATCTGGATTTTTTTATGGCGCTGTCGCGCCAAAAGCCAGGGGTCCAGATTGACTGATTGACTTTTTTTTGTCGTAGGAGGGAGGGGAGGTCCTGTTTCTTTCCTTGATTCCTTTGGCGGACGTGGCGATCGGAAGGCGTGCGCCACGAATTAGTCGAGCCCTGGTGTGTTTTTCTTTGTCTTTCTTGGTGGAATCGGCGCAAGCGAGTGGGAGTGGTAGCGTTAGCATCACGGGCATACGAGGCTGCAATTTCATCGATGGACCGGGTGGGCTATTTTCAGCACCGCGACTCCGTATTTTGGAAGAATGGAAGACGGCGGCATGATTCTAGGCACAATGCCGGCGGAAACGGACAGGGGTCTGCTTCTTATCTGAGGAGAGCAGAAAAGGGAGAGAGATGGGATCTGCGTATGATGGTACTTGGTAGATACGACATACCGCATTTCACGGGTCCAATTCAACCTGGACAGGTCTGTGTCAGTGGTATTGCTGCTACCTCGACGGAGTGCTTCACCTTCACCGGGGCCAAATACGAACCTATGACGTCCTCTCGAGGTGCCACGGCCGCAAGTGAAATCCCTCCTTTTTGTGCTGGCTGCCAAAATTTTCAAGCCGAGATCGTGAAACGTGTGCCGGCCGTTTCAATGGGTCTGTGCCCGGTGTACTGCTACTTGCACTTCATGCTTGACAGAACTCGAGTACTACTAGTCGTAGCAGAACTGAGCCAGCAGTTACCAGAGTCTCTCGCCCGCTCATGAACGGCAAGGCTGCGGAGTATTACTGGCGAGCCGTCGAGCAGAAAACTGGTGAACGGATTCCCGGACGGAGCATGGTACGGATCCTGCTTGCCTATGTAAGACCTCTAGCACGAACCCGAGGGCCGCGATTGGCCAAGGTCAAACGGTCGGCCGGTGGGCATTGGTGGTGAGTCGCTGGTGGACGCCACACGAGGCTCCTTTTCCCCTTGATCTAACGCATTCCGAAGAGGACACAAGCTAGCGTCCGGTCGGCGAGGGCTAGGCTTTGGTCTTGCGTGCCGGCAGTGGAACGCTCTTCTCAGCCATGGCTGGCGGTTGCCGTGGCGAGGGAAGCTTCTTTCGAGGGGCTGCCAGCCGGTCTGTGTCGAAGCCGAGTTCCTCACTGGGCATTGAAAGCATAGGATAGGGGAGACGGAGTGCACTAATAAGCAATAATCAGAAACCCGTGGGAGTTGTTGGGAGGTCGTAGCTCGTCTGTCATACATACCTTACTTTGTCCGCTGACGACGGAGCCCCACCAGTCTGAAGATGTCGACAATACCTCGAGAGAGGGGCGCCTCTCTTAGTGCGGGAGAGGTGCAGGGCCGTTGTCCAGTCACTGTGTTTACATGTCCTGCTCTGCTCACGAAGAGAGGCATGGCTGCCCGATATCGAGGACGAGTGCTTCGTACACCCGCAGGCGCTGTGGACGACAAGAGATGCAAAAGCACTCGCAACATGTATGGCTTGGGCCGTCCATCTGTCTGTCGTTGTCCGTCGTTGCTCGTTTCTGGATCTGCGTGCGCAAACGCCTCGACCCCGCCTCGTCGAAGCCAATGCGGCCAGTAGCTGCCAGGCGATGGCGCACGCAGACAGCCTCTCGAGGTTAAGCATACGGGTGTCCATGTCCTCGTTAAAGCTGTGAGGATGAGCTGCCGAGGCCATCCGCAGCTCCCAGTCACACGCCCCCTGGGCATCAATCAACTGCAGCCATGGCGAACTGAGGCTTTGGGCCGTGAGCCGCATTCGGCAATCGAGCTTACCGACGGGTGATGAGTGGTTGTCGAGCTGCTTCACGCGGCACCTGTGCTGATATCATGCGCGTATGGCTTGGTTCTCGCCTGCTGATGGACCAAGTACGGAGTACGTAACTCTCACCACCTCGCGGTGTTGGTGGTCGGAGAGCGGTGACGTTGAGGCCAAGACGCCGGCCCCCCGTAGGTAACCCGAGCTTGCATGGAACCCCAGATCGGCCAAAGGCAAGGCAAGGCACGCAAGGAGGGACAGCTGAGTGAATGCCCGTCAACCAACCGTGTCCATCGTCGAGCCAAGCAACAGCGACTGGAAGGGCTCGTAAAGACAAACCTGGCCTGGGCCTGCGACGCAGGTACGAGGTACCGGGTACCGCCGCGACGAAAATGGTGGGCAAGCAGGCCCGGCCTTAGCAGGCGTCCGAGGGAGGGCAGGAGGGGCAGCAGCTCGACAACATTGGATCCTCTCCGTCATCCTCAGGAGCGACTCGCGCAGTACACGGTCGGCGGCAGCAGCAGCACTGTGTCTGGCGTATCGTCTGCGTACCGGCTGCTTGCCCACCTCGGACCCTCTCCTCTGCCCCCTCTCCACATTAAGCTGAGCCCCAAGCCTCGCTCCGCTACTTCTGGCCAGTGCTCCTTTTCCCACTCACCAGCCAAGGGAGTCACTGGTACGAGCACCGGTGTCGTGCGCTGCTCAGCACTGCAGTCACTCGACGGCCAGTGAGATAAAGACCTGAGTTGAGACCAAGTAATCCAGTAGTAATCGCAGTACCGGTACCAGCCCGGAGTACATATAGAGACCAGAGCGGCCCTCCTTCGCGTGCAGCCCAAAGCCAAAACTCCCGTCATCTGTCCGCGCCTCCCCTCCTTTTCGCTCTTACACCAGACCAGACCTTCCCCCTTACCTACCTTATCTTGCTCTGTGTTGTCGACCTTATAAACTTGTCCGTCTTCCTTCTTTCGACTCCTCCTCTTCATCCCACTCCGCGCTCGACTCTCGTTTATTTCCACTCGACTCCATCACCACCATTCGTTCTCCTTGATCTCCATCATCGTCTCAGCAACCAGCAGCAACCATGTGGTGAGCTCTCCCATCCCACCATTCACCGCCCCGCTCCGCATCTGTCCTTTCTGCCGTGGTGCCGCCAATGGCCGTGCTGGTGATGATGACGGATGGCAATTGGCAATTGGACTGCGACTGACTCTATTCTGCTTCTTGTCTATAGTGGTATTTTCGGATACGTCAACTACCTGGTCGAGAAGGACCGCAAGTTCATCCTCGACACCCTGCTCAATGGTAAGGACGAAGAAGCCTCCGCCTCGTGATTTGGGCCTCGTTGGGAGGCCATTGCCTCGCAAGTGGCAGAATACACATGGGAAAAGAGGAGTCGATGGCTAACCTGTGGTCTTTTCGCAGGTCTTTCCCGTCTTGAGTACAGAGGATACGACTCCGCCGGTCTGGCCATCGATGGCGACAAGAAGAACGAGGTCCTGGCCTTCAAGGAGGTTGGCAAGGTGGCCAAGCTGAGGAAGCTCATAGACGAGGCCCCATTGGACCTGACCAAGGTCTTCGACTCACATGCCGGCATTGCCCACACCCGATGGGCCACTCACGGTCCCCCTTCCACCGTCAACTGCCACCCTCACCGGTTTGTCTCTCCCCTCCAAGCATTGCGCATAGGAACTTTGAAATGGGTTAGCTGACTGAACGCGTCCCACCAACCAGATCTGACCCCAACTGGGAGTTCACTGTTGTCCACAACGGTATCATCACCAACTACAAGGAACTCAAGACTCTCCTGAGCAGCAAGGGCTTCAAGTTTGAGACTGAGACCGACACCGAGTGCATTGCCAAGCTGGCCAAGTACATCTACGACCAGCACCCCCAGATTGGTTTCACCGACCTCGTCAAGGCCGTCATCCAGGAGCTTGAGGGTGCCTATGGTCTGTTGATCAAGTCTGTCCACTACCCCCATGAGGTTATTGCTGCCCGAAAGGGTTCTCCTCTCGTCATCGGCGTCAAGACTCAGCGCCGCATGAAGGTCGACTTTGTCGACGTGGAGTATGGCGAGGACAACCTTCCCCTCTCCGCAGAGGCTGCCTCTCAGACCGTTGCCCTCAAGAAGGATGGCGAACTCCTCGCCCCCTCCAGCGCCCTGGGTGCTCCCGACAAGTCTCTCCTCCACCGCTCTCAGTCGCGTGCTTTCATGACTGACGACGGCATGCCCATGCCCACTGAGTTCTTCCTTTCTTCCGACCCCGCTGCGATTGTTGAGCACACCAAGAAGGTCCTGTACCTCGAGGATGACGATATTGCTCACATCCACGAGGGTTCCCTCAACATCCACCGCCTGAAGAAGGCCGATGGCAGCTCCAACGTCCGCGCCATCCACACTCTGGAGCTTGAGCTTCAGGAGATCATGAAGGGCAAGTTCGACCACTTCATGCAGAAGGAGATTTTCGAGCAGCCCGAGTCCGTTGTCAACACCATGCGTGGTCGTCTTGACATTGCCAATAAGACCGTCACTCTGGGTGGTCTCCGTTCATACATTGCCACCATCCGCCGATGCCGCAGAATCATCTTCATTGCCTGCGGTACCAGTTACCACTCTTGCATGGCCGTCCGTGGTATCTTTGAGGAGCTTGCCGAGATTCCCATCTCTGTCGAGCTGGCCTCTGACTTCCTTGACCGCAAGGCCCCGGTCTTCCGAGACGACACCTGCGTCTTTGTCTCCCAGTCTGGCGAGACTGCCGACTCTCTGATGGCCCTCCGCTACTGCTTGGAGCGTGGTGCCCTCACTGTCGGCATCGTCAACGTGGTTGGCTCTTCCATCTCTCTCCTCACCCACTGCGGTGTCCACGTCAACGCCGGCCCCGAGATCGGTGTCGCCTCCACCAAGGCCTACACCTCCCAGTTCATTGCCATGGTCATGTTCGCGCTCTCCCTTAGTGAGGACCGACTGTCGAAGAAGGCCCGCCGAGAGGAGATCATGGAAGGCCTGGCCAACGTCTCCGCCCAGATCAAGCAGATCCTTGAGCTCGACCAACCCATCAAGGACCTCTGCCAGAAGGTCTTCAAGGATCAGAAGTCCCTGTTGCTGCTTGGCCGCGGCAGCCAGTTCTCCACCGCCCTCGAGGGTGCCTTGAAGATTAAGGAGATTTCCTACCTCCACTGCGAGGCCGTCATGTCTGGTGAGCTGAAGCACGGTGTCTTGGCCCTGGTCGACGAGAACCTCCCCATCATCATGATCCTCACTCGTGACGACATCTTCACAAAGTCTCTCAACGCCTACCAGCAGGGTAAGTCTGAAAATACTGAGTTCCCTCCCCCCATTCTGCATGAAGCTAACGGTAGTCATAGTCATTGCTCGTGGTGGCAAGCCCATTGTCATCTGCAACCCTGGCGATGAGGAGTTCAAGGCCTCCGATGCTCTCAAGATTGAGATCCCCAAGACGGTCGACTGCCTGCAGGGCATCCTGAACGTTATCCCTCTGCAGCTGATTGCCTACTGGCTGGCCGTTCTCGAGGGCCTTAACGTGGACTTCCCTCGAAACTTGGCCAAGTCTGTGACTGTCGAGTAAAGAAAGAGACGCCGGTCGGCTCTAGGCATACGGCGATGTTATGGCAGAGCTTGTTTTCTACTGCCACGAAATAAAAGGATAATGAGGAGTTGGCTGTCAGGGAACTTTTTTTAACGGCTCAGCAATGGATTTTTCTGTTTTAGGAGGATGCTCTCTTTTCTTTTTTTGTATGTAATGAGGAACCCGACAGGGATTCCAATGACAGGGAGGCCGGGCTCCATTTTAGATGAGCATAGGGCGGATTGTTCTGTTCTGCATGGAACACGCGGCTGGCAGAGCGTCTTGGTGTACCTGTCTTTTCTGATGGAGAAAACATGTGTGCTGCTGTGCGAATATGCGTATACGAAGCGCCATCTTCTAGTTGAATATCTAGAGAAAGAACTGAAAAAAGAGTAAAACCAAGAATGAATGCTTCTGTTTTATCCTATCTGTGAAGAAATGAAGCACTTGTCATCCAGATTACCTGTTTCTGGGCAGAGATATTTCAATCAACACGGCTGGTACTTCCAAAGCAGGCATTGAACGTCGAGTCGCTTCATAACACAGCGGCATTGATGTTCATGGCCCTTCTGAGTCCAGAGCTAAGGCGATATCTTGATTCTTTTGCACTATAAACAACGTAATGGGCGACAATTGGATTTCAATGACTATTCCTTCTCTCTTTAAACTGTCTGAGTGCCATAGCCCTTGATCCTGTCCGCAAACGCCCAGCTCTGGTCCTCTAGCTTCTCGTTCTCCTTCAGCTCAACGCCGTCCTTGGTGACAATGGCTAATGAGTACGAATCGAGACTTCGAGCGTCACGGTAGAAGAGCACCTTCATTGCCTCCTGAACAATCTTGACGGCCTCTTCGCGGGAGAGCTTCTTGGCGGACTCCTCGTCGGGGACGTAGCGCCTCATGATGGGCTGGGCGAGCATGGCGCCGAAGCCCGTGGCGAGGGACGGGGCCGAGTAGGTGCTTCCGAGGAGGTCGGCGGCGGCGAGGAAGGGCTCACCATTGTCGTCGAGGCCGCCGACCAGCAGGTGGTTCCAGAGGGGGTCGAACTTGGAGCGGCGGCTGTAGAGGAGCTTGGCGAGGTAGCGGTGGAGGTTGGCGGCGCTGAGGCGGGGCTTGTCGGGGGACTCGTAGGCCTCGGAGAGGGAGAGGTCGATGAGGTGGCGGTCGAGGTACTGCATGTCGGAGATGTCGCCGCTGAAGCCGACGACGGAGGTTCCGGCGAAGGGGCGGAGGCGCTTGACGTCGGTGAAGCGTGCGAGGGAGCCGTATGATGCTAGGGGGATGGTCAGCGAATGTGGACCGAAATGTTGAGGTTCTTGTTGGTTTGCGTTGTTGGGAGTGGAAGGGGTGATGGGAGAGGGGATAGAGAGGGGGGGCTAACCAAGGTTATCGGCGGCCATGACAACGCCGTCCTGGAACTTGATGCCTATTACTGAGGTGCCGGTGACGATGGGCTGCTGGGTGTTTTGCTTGGGCCCATTGTCCTGCATGTAGGAGCGGTCATAGGCGCCGTAGACGTCGTCTCTCGGCTATGGAAATGGAAAAAAAGAGTTAGCGATTTGCACCAGGTTGAAGTTGAGGATCGAAGGATTGCTGCGTACTCGGCCCCAAGCTTGCGGACGGTGATCCATTTTGGCTTATAGAGGAGGAGATGTGAGAAGTTGCTTTGACGAAGAGCGACGACGTGGGGTAAAGAATCGGAAGCTGGGAGGCTGATTGATTCTGCGGCAGCTCTCCAAGGATCAACGTCACAGAGACTGTTTCGCTTGTTGCTGTGTCTGTCCGGGTCTGATAGACACGGGGCTCGGATCGATTGACGGCGGGGGAGAGGAAGGGCAAACTGCTGTATGAGAAAGAAGTTGTGCTTTGGCTGGAAAGCTGGTGATGCAGCCAAGTCCGTGGTCGCGCGTCCCAGCGGTGCCTGCAAGCCAGAAGGGTACAAGTTACAAGCTGGCAGCGGAGGTGTTACATAAGCCAAACGTTACCGCCGGTGATTGGCCACGGCGAGGAAGCTTGGGCCAGCCCCAGGTCAAGGTACAGCATACGTGCCGAACCGCGGGGCTTGCAGCGGCAGACAAAGTTTTCAATACTTGCTGAGCCCGTCCGATAGACGACGTCAAGGGAGCATAAGGCGAGAACTGGAGGGAAGCTGCAAGCAGTAATAAGCTTGAGTCGTGCCTGCTGTTTACCTGCCCATTGATAGCGTCCTCCCCCTCCTACAACCCTCGTCATTTCTCAACACCCATTCCACAACTCCACCAGCTTGAAGCAAGGGAAGAGAAGATAAAAATTCACAACAACTAGCAGAGCATCTGAGAAGATTTTCACGACTCGACACAGCGCGCGCTCTACAATTGGCGGCTTCAGCACCACCTCACAGCTTCTCGCGCTTGCGCCCAAAAACATCATCGTTCGATAGCTCGATCCTTCAAGATGCTGTCATCCGCAGGTCTCGGGGCCGCCCGTCGCGTGCTCACCAGCTCCGGCGCAGCAGCCCCATGGCATCAATTCTCCGGCCTGGCAGCCCGCGCGCTCGTCCTGCGCCTCGCCGCGCCCTCGGTGCGCACCATCAGCTTGTCGGCGTCTATGCGCTCGCCCGCCGCGAAGGCCACCAGCGCTTCCAAGTCCACCACCAAGAAGACGACAAAGCCAAAGAGCTCTTCTACTACCAAGAAGTCGACGGCCAAGAAGGCGGCCAAGCCCAAGGCCAAGAAGCCCGCCAAGAAGGCCGTCAAGAAGAAGGCCGCGGCCAAGAAGCCCAAGGCGGCCAAGAAGAAGACGTTGACGGATGAGCAGAAGGAGAGGCTGGAGATTCGGAAGCTGAAGCAGATGTCGCTGCTCAAGGGACCGACTGCCCTCCCGGAGACGGCGTGGAGCGTGTACATGGTGGACAACTTGCGCGGTGGTACCGGCGGCGACGCTTTGGGGGACAAGGTCAAGGCGCTTTCTACGAGTTTCAAGAACTTGCCCGAGTCCGAGAAAGAGGTAGGCCCTTTTCTTCTTGCTTCTCCATCTTCTTCATGACGCCGTCATACTGACTTGATTCTCTCGCAGCGCTTGGCAGCCATTGGCAACTCCAACAAAATCGCCAACCAGGAGGCCAAGAAGAAATGGATCGAATCCTTCCCTCCTGAGGCGATCTACACGGCCAACCTGGCCCGCCGTCGCCTGGCCCGCAAGACGGATAAGACCAAGATCTACTTGCTCCACGACGAGCGACTCCCTCACCGTACCGGATCCGGCTTCACTCTTTACATCAAGCAGAACTTTGGCCAGTCAGGCGCCGATTCCGCCACGGATGCTATGCGCACCATGAGCGAGCGCTGGAGGTCGTTGAGCCCTGATGAGAAGGCTCCTTACGTGGAAGAAGCCACTGAGCTCAACAAGGTGAGCGGGGAGAAGGTCAAGGCTTTGCGCAAGAAGGGCGAGCTGTACTGGAAGGAGAAGCTCGCCTCGCCTTCGCCTGCGGCATAGAGCTACTTCCATCTGAACAAGTTCTACCATTGTCCATCTAGAGGTAGTGGGTATCATGGGATATCCATCCCTACCCTTGGACTGGAAGAAGAAAAAGCGCGCAGGGGGGAAAGAAAAGGGAAGGATAAATAACTTTCCAAAACCCGGCGGTTTCCTTTGGTATTGACCCTGTTTGAGATTCACGGGGAGCTTTTCCGCGCAGTGTAACAGTAATGTTTCTATGCTTTACGATGTTCAATCGTTGAATATTCATTTGATGCCTCAACCATTTCCCTTTCCCTTTTCCCTTTTGCGGAGATGATCGTGTTTTTAATATGACTCCTGAGATCACCCCTGATCTGAAGTCAAGTTTCACTAATGAGAGATGCAGAGCCCCCTCAACGCTCTGTTATTTGAAACGACGACCATGAGTATGGCTCTCGCCATCACCCATATAGAATCAGATGTACTCTAGATATGTCGAATCGGGAGTAGTTTAAGCACATCGAACCAGATGTGCTTTAGGCGACTAAGCAGCCATAACTACGCTTTCTTTTCCACAGGCAGCACTTCCAACGCAACCTCTCCATCGGCGCCAATCCATTTCGCCCCGGTACCCTTCATCTGCCTCCCGCTCGCAAGATACAGCAGCAGATACGTATGCTTCGCGACGTGAGCCCAGCAGTAGAGCCGGATCCAGCGGCGCGGCTCGTCCCGGCGACACCACACGCCCCAGCCAGCCAGGCCGCTGCGGAGGTAGTTGCCGAGGAAGAGCCAGCTCTCGCGAAAGGTGTCCTCGGACCAGCCGCTGCAGTCAAGGAGCCAGTAGCCCCGTTCGAGGGGCTCCAGTTCGCGTCTCGCTACGGGGCGATATCGAGAGGAGAGGTCTTGGGCTAGTTTGGCCAGCTTGTCGGGCACCAGGTCTGCTGGCTCGAGGTCCATGATGCTTGCGGGAGGAGACGGGGGCCGGATTTCCAAGGTGTCGGATGAGTCTCTCGACGCGGCTGGGTAAGAGCTTGCTGATCGTGTGTTTCGGGCTGGCCCGGTGTCACTCGAGCTCCGCTGCAGATTCGTCGCCGCGGCTTCATCAACGAGTCCCTTTTGGCGCTTCGACAGAGGTGGTGCAGACTCGGCTCGAAGGGAGGCTGCTTCGGAGGCCGAATCATCGGGAGTGCCGCTCGATATGTAGATGGTCTCGTCAATCACAGTAGGGGAGAATTCTTGTCGCTTTCGAGTCGATGCCCCTTTCGGTACTCCGGGGGTGACGGGGATGATATTCGCAACTTTCTCTTGTCCAAGGGAGTGGCTTCCATCTTCGGCCAGGTCAGGGGGGATGGGGATAGACGACGGAATATGAGTATCTCCTCCACGAGCACCGTCTGGTGGAACTGGATGATCGGCTTGAGTATTACGGAAAGGGTTTGAGCCCTGCTTCTTCATATAATGCTCAAGAACCCTAGTTGGCGTGGCATGGCGTAGTTCGGCATCAGGCAAGGGGTAAGAATCGTCGATCTGACTTGGAGGCGCATGCCATGAAGATGCAAGCTGAGTCGACAAGGATTCACCATCCTCTTCCTGGTTTGGCGGAGCCTCGTCTGTCACGTTGCGCCTGTCTTGCAGCGGCGGCGAGAAGCGGTTGTCGCAGACGCTCCGGAAGCTCAGGTTCTGAGACTCTGGAACCCAAGGCTGTCTTGACGGCGCCGCGAACACCCTGCCCGACGAAGCGGCGGCGGTGCTCTGCTGCTCTTGCGTGGGAGCATCTCCCCGGTCGCCGGCATGCTGCGCATCTGAAGGATGATGCTGCTGTTGCTGTTGAGCGGGATCTGCGAAGATGGGGAGCTGATGTCGCGGCTGGAATGAAAGGTAGGACTGGGCCAACTGCCTGTAGGCGACGTCGTCTGCCGTCCTGCTCGGTGCTGTGACGTGAACTAGGATCTCGACGTCGGACTCCTGCGTTGCCTCCATTTGTGTGTCAGTCGATCTGTGACCGAACTAATGGACGCAACATTGCATGGGGCGGAAGAGCATGGCACTTTCGGCCTATTCAGCTGTGAGCAGATGAACGGGATAGATCAGGCGATGCGGACGAATCACGACGATGCATCATCTATACATGTTGAGCGAACTGCAGTTGTTGGACAATGCTGGTTTCCTCTATTTGTGCACTCCGTTGAATTCCCAGTGGGAGATGGCAATGTAGTCCGCCGGCCTGTAGAGTTCGCGAGATGTTTCAGAGAATCTTGGTGAAGATGGTGGGTTGGTTGTCCTGACCGAAGTCGTTTGTGAAGGTGAGAGGAGTGCATAAAGACGAATCGTGAGAACAAATCGGATGGATCAAGATTCGACACCGGCAAACCTAGTGCCTGTAGCCAGCCCAAACCCCCCACTGAACTGATGCCACGTTCCCCGAAGACCGCTAAGCTTCAGGTGCATCCCCCGCTAAATGTCACTATAATTCCCAGGCACGGGGTGCAGTCCAGTCCACCTCAGGGTCCCTGATGGCACCGAATATTGGCCACTCCTCCATTTGATGTCTTGATATCCCGATATCAACCTCATCCTCCAACCACCACCAACGCCTTATACCCAGCCCTCCAGCCCTCCCTCCGCAACAATGGCCGGCGAAAAGAGAGGCGACCTCGGCAGCGTCCTGGTCATTGGCGGCAACGGCTTCCTGGGCCACCACATTGTCAACCAGGCGCTGTCCTCGTGGACCTGCTCGGCCGTCGCCTCGGTCGACCTGCGCTGCACCCGCAACATCAACGCCGGCGCCTCGTACCACGAGTGCGACATCACCGACGCCGCCCGGCTGACGGAGCTGCTCAAGACGATCAAGCCCGACGTCGTCATCCACACCGCCTCGCCCACGGCCAGCAGCGACAGCACGACGGCCCACGAGCTCTTCCGCAAGGTCAACATCGGCGGCACCCAGGCCGTCATCGAGGCCTGCCAGAACTCCGGGGTCAAGGCCCTCGTGTACACCAGCTCGGCCAGCGTCGTCAGCGACAACGAGAACGACCTGCTCAATGCGGACGAGGACTGGCCCGTCATAAGGGGCGCCCAGCAGAAGGAGTACTACTCCGAGACAAAGGTAAAGAAACGATGATCCCCATCACCTCGGAGATTTGCCTACATATACTCCAGGCTTCACGAACTGACCATCTCCAATTGTTAAGGCCGCCGCCGAAGAGCTCGTCATCAAGGCCAACCGCCAAGAACCCTCCAAGCTGCTAACCACCTCCCTCCGCCCCGCGGGCATCTTCGGCGAGGGCGACGTCCAGACCCTCGCCGGCTTCATCCGCGCCTACGACAACAAGCAGACGCACGTCCAGCTCGGCGACAACACCAACATCTTCGACTTCACCTAC